TTGTAAGTTGGAAAAAAAAATCACAGTTTTCTGATGAACATAAGCACACATTTTAGAGAGACAAAAATACCCAAGATGCAAATATGACTGGTTTGAAGTATATCAACTGTGATGACTCTCCCCTTTGTCCTTAAAAGCCTACTTGTGCAGAACAGAAAGTAAGGCACCAGCACTGCCTCACACGCGGCCCTGCACCAGGTCCGCAGACGCTGTCCTCTGTGTGTGGCGGGCCCCGCCCACAGGAGGGCACCTCCGCCTCCCTCTCCAGAAGCTCTGATTTTCATGAATCTCTCTCTCTCTCTCTCTCTCTCTCTCACACACACACACACACACTGTATAAGTCTTAGCTTTGAGCTACAGTCAGGCTCTGCTATAATTGTCCTCATTAAAAACCCCTGTATCATTTCAGACAGTCAGAGAGAAGTCTCTGTCTGGCATGGTTCCAGCGGAAAGCCACACTTTCCTTAGCTGAAAAAGAAGTGTGGGTATAAATCTCTCTCTCTCTCACACACACACACACACACACACTCACTCCCCCTCCCCTCCAAACAAACCACGGAGCTTCTATTTCCATTTCCAGGTGTGGAAGAGAGAATACAGTCAGAAAAAAAGAAAATTAAATAACCACTGAAGGTCAATACTCTTCCCAGGACGTTAGATATGATTTGAACAAGGCACTTAGGAATTTTTTCAGCATCTGTGGGCATGTTTTCCTCAAGCATGCCATCATGATTCCCCCTAACTTTAAATGTTTCTGTGTTTCCATTATATGTATGACAACACAACTGTAAGTGGATTGCCTTCTAGGACAAAACCCAGCTCTTCCAAGAGGCTTGTCTAGATTCTGGAAGGTTGTATTCTGATGGGGGATGTTAGAAATGAGAGTGTGGGGTACATGGTCACCAGCTGTTGACACTCATGATGAGTAGTGCCCTGGGGAGCAGGCAACCATTCAGTGGCAGAGACTTCTGGTCTACCATGCGCTGCCTGCCATGGTGTTGTGCTGGTGGGAGCCTCCAATGAAGTTATTAGGTGGCAAGACGTGGCTTCTCCAAAAGTCCTGGAATCCCTTGTCCCCACAACAAATTGTGCAATGTGACACATGGCCACATTTGAGCATGAAGATTTTTAGAGATAAAATTTGGAAAGATGGGCAGGAAGAGTAGGGGGAAAACTGGAGGTTAGTGGTGTCCAGTGGAGTTCTGAAGGCTATATTAGGGGAGCGTGGGAGGAAATGGAAGTTGAGGGGTCTCGGCAGAGGAAGCAGTGAATGCCAAGGCACCTTGACCTAGAATGGGAGTGCAGAGGACAGACAACGGCCCTGCCTGGAAGACAAGGGCTGCGTGCTTATGTGCTGGAGAAGAGCTGAAGACTTCTAGCGGGGGTGTCTGGGTCCCATTTGCATTTTAGGCGGATCCCTGAGGCTTGTTTCTAGATAATCCCTCAAGGTTGCAGCTGAGACTGGAGGCAGGTGTAAGCAACATCCACAGTCTCTTAAAGACACAGCAGCTATGGAAGGTCAGCTTTAATATGCAAAATATCAGGGCTAAGGAAGAATGAGGAGGTAGAGTGTTTCATGTTTTTGGCTTGGGCACAAGATGGATGGTGAAATCACTAACTGAAGGCAGAGAATAAAGAGGGAAACCCAGGTGTGAGGGACCGGATGGGTGGGGGTGCTGGTGGAAAGCGTTGGGGAATAGAGAGAGTAACATTGCCCATGCTGGTTTGGAACATCCATTGGGCGGCTGGGCAGGCCTGTCCAGTAGGGAGCCAGAGTTCCATGGGAGGTCAGAGCTGGATAAATAAATGTGAACACCATCAGCCCTTTGTGGGAATCAAGAATGTTGTTGAGGATGAGGCTGTTTGAACAAAGGACACGGGGAAGACAACAGCACCAGGATTGTTGTACAAGGAATTGTGTCTCCATATTTTATGTGCTGGACCTTGAGGTTTCTGGAGCAGTAGGGGTTGTTGATAAGGGAAAGAGACCAGCTTGATGTCAATTCTTTTCTTGACATAAACATCAGTCTTGCCAACTGCATCACTATGGGATTGGTCTTGACAATGTCTAAAAGGATCCCTTCCGCATTTAATATGCTGCAATTCTAAATCTCTGCCCTGTATCGTAAGCCCAGCAAGTTAATTTTGGAGGAAACTCTTGGCTTTAGGAAAAGGAAGGGAATTTGCTTAGGATTGAGAATGGAATGTCAGTGCCTTATGGGGACACGTGCCAGGCAATTGGAAACCTCAACTTCCCGATAATGAGGGAAGGACATAAGGAGTTTAAAGATGCTCCATAGAATGACTAACTACTCACCCAGAAACATATGCCATGATTTCCACCGTAAGTTATGATACAGACGAGTCAAACTGAGTGAAATTTAGGATCTTTAAGGCTCCTACCCCATTGAAGTCAGCAGCTTCCATTTAACCACAGTGAAGAGAGAAATGCTGATGCAGGTGGCCCTTGATTTCTCCAGGACTAGAGTATCCAACACACCCGAATAAAAATAGCTGCCAGGACCACCCAGCAGAAAGACTGGGGTACAAAAGGTGGCAGGGTCCTAGGTCACAAGAGGTAAAGTGGTGATGCACAAAGGGACAGGAAAACTTGACAGGGCTTTGAAAGACCATGATGCCTGGAATCTGGGAGCCTGTGGTTTGGAGGGTGTCACCCCTGGGGCCATCAGAGGAGGGCCAGCTGAGGAGCTCAGTGATTTGGAGTGACGACTGGTGGGCACAGAGCCAGGGAAGGAAGGGAGCACAAGTCCAAGGCCAGGATACAAGAGGGACGGAACCTGCAGCCATACTGGCAAGTGACGTGGACAATCCACAGTGGGGCAGGCAGAGACAGGAGATGGTCCCACAGGTGAAGGATGGAGTCTGCTGAGTTCTCGCCATGGGCTTGCTTCTGTGCATGAATTGTCATGAGCCACGAGGGACAACCTGTGTCTGAAGAAGCTCTGTGTGCTCCTGCAGACCCGTGTTGCTGTGACAGGCTCCTCCTTACCTGCTTTGTTTGCCTCTGCCACACGACACCCTTAGCCTCCCCGATAGCCAGGCTGTTTCTCTGCATTTCGATATAAACCACGTGGCAGGCTGAATGGCACGAGCAGGTGCCACTGCAGGCTGGAGGGTGGGTCACAGCTGCTGAGCACCTTCAGTTCTCAAAGGGCCATAGTTCGTTCAAGAGGCAGTGCCGTGATTTCATTGCTGTGCCTACAGGGCTTGTGGAAGATCAAGCATCAACTTGCGATGTGCAAAGTTGCTTGCTGACACTCCATGCACACACTCCCGTCCCGGGTGACACTAGACGATGAGTCCTGGTTTTCTTAAGTGCACCCCACACCCAAGCCATGACACGTCGACTCCAGGGCTAGCCAGGCAGCTGGGATGTGCTCAGCACTGTGCTCTGGCCGTGGGGGAGGTGATGCCACCTGTGGCTTCTCTGAACAGACATTGCTGATGGCAGAGGAGCTGGGGTCCACCAAGGGTCCCAGACATGCAGCTGACCTGTGACAGAATGCCTGTCATCCACACAAAAGGGTCAGAGAAAGAAACTGACAGTATGAAATAACAAGGTACCACTTTTTGTCCATCCCCTGGGCAAAGATGAGGGCGGGTCTGTGCTAATGCCAATGACAGGTGACAAGAATGTGAGGACACACTTTTATCCACCGTCAGATCTGAACGGTGTAGGGGACAACTGTCAAAATTCTTACTACTCGCATGCGTACCTGACCCTGAGATTTATCTTCAGTAGCTAAAAGGCCAAGTGCACAAAGATGTGAGCTCAGGAATGCTCATCACAACATTGTGTAAAATAGTGAAAAACTGTAAGCAAATAAAATAGAATCTGCTTAAGGAAATGATAGTATAGCCCATGATAAATGCTTTGCAGTCGTTCAAAAAATGATGATGTGTTCTAACCGTATTGACATAGAAAGATGGATGATAGAGTATTAAGTGAAAGAGCAAGTTACAACGTTGTATGTATAGATATTTAGAGAATTTCCTCTCTGCATATATTCACAAGTATAGAAATGGGGGGTGGAAGGTGCTCACCAAAATATAACCATTGTTTCCTCTATGGCTAGTATTATGAGAGGACTGTATTTTCTGATTTATAACTTTTCAGTATTTTCAGAGCTCTTAAATAATGGGCATGTATTAGTTTCATAATCAGAAAAATAATAAGGAATCAAAAAAAGTAGAATAATGGTGGCCAATGTTTCAGTTACTCTATATGTCAGGAACCCAAGGTAATTTTTTAAAATGAGGAAAAGGAAGAGAACATTTCAATAGCTATGACCGTTATTCTTAATCTCTTCAAAGTAAGTTTATAATTAGGACAGATTCCAGGCCGGTCTCTATCCTTGGCTCCCAAACTCAGTGGATTATAACCTACATCCCAGTTGAAACAAAATGTGTTCAGCCCAAAATAGATAAGATTATAAACCCATCAAAAGTGATGACTTCTAAAAAATTCCAGGAACTCACCAAAGTAAGACAAAGAAAAAATGTATAAAGTCTACTTAGCTTTTAGGGGGGGAAAAAAGGAAACCAAATGCCTACAAAAATACCAGCTCCAAAAATACCAGAAAATCTTCAACAGGAGGAGTCGGAGAGCAGAGGACTGGCAGATGGATGTCAGATTTTCCATGTCAAAGAGGACTTGGAAACTGGTCGTGCGTCACCAATTGTGTGTGTGTGTGTATATATATATATATATATATATATATATATATATATATATATCTCCAAGATCACTATGGCAGACGCTTAATTCCAACAACAGGGGCAAGCTTTTTAATGTCCTAAAAAACCTGACTAACTGATTATCTAGCTATAACGTGAGATTTTTTTCATTCCTTTCCTGGTTGTGACCAAATGTAAACATAGGAAAAAGAAGGGAGAGAGAGAGAGCTGGAGCAGACCCATTGTTTCGTTCGTATTTCAGATGTGCCTTATACATAGTTGTCTTTTCTTCTCACCTCCAGGAAAAGCACAAAGAAGAAACTACAACCATGGCCAAGCTGACAGAATCCATGAGTGAGTAACTTATATTTATTCTTTATGTTCGCTTTTGAATGGAAAACCACCAGCTCTTGCACAAACCACATCCCCTTGTGATTATATGATTCATCTTTCACTGTTGGGATAGCCAAGGTCTATTCGAGATATATTGCATTGTGTTGATGTTACATTATGCATTATTCAAAATCCGTCTTGCGTGGGGTCAAATTCTGTGGTGAAATTGTTCCTGAATGAATGGGGCTGAAGAATCAAAATGGATTTTCTCCATGGCACTGCACTGGGGAATCAAGACCCACAGTTATTTAAATCTGACCTTTAGCAGGTTTCGCCCAAGTCAGCTAAAGTCTTGTGTGCAGATATTGCACAGGCGGAATAGTCTCAAGAGAGGGAAAAATGGTTTGTGATCAAACCCTTCAGGTGCTGCTCAGAAATTTCAAACAGAACTATTAAAAAATTGAGTGCTTGAGCTGTAAGTGGCTTGTAATGACCTAGGTCTGAAATGGAACAGTGATATAATGCTCGAAGCTCTTAACCTAAATAAACAGGATCACATATTTTTAAGAAGAAAAAAAGAATTAATTAAAATAAATTCTCCCTCAAAATGAGGAATGCAATCTTGTAGGTTACAGTTCAAATGTCAAAGACCACGTGGGTATGAAATAAACAGGCAATGCAGACTTTCCTTTCTTTGAAAACGTGCCCTGTCCCTGGTGATAGATATTAGAGCTAAAACTACAAGGGAAGCTTGCCGCCACTTCTCCGTCACTGCCAGGGCCATGGACACCTTATTACATTTGGCCTGCAAACGTCACCATTAATCTTGCCCACATTTAACTGGGCCCCCGCCTCCTCCTTCTATTATTCCTCAAATCAGAAACCATTAAAATACAGGTGTTCTTTTGTGGCACTGTCAATGAGCCCTCATCCCCAAAGATCCGCCCCCTCACCCAGAAAAGATAATGTTAAAAAGCGCTTTACAATGCATCTCCTTAATTCCTCACCCAGAGCCCCTGCCTAATTTCCTGGGTCTTGAACACAACTTCCACCGTGTGCGCAGCAGCTCCAAGGGCTTGGTGAAGGCCCGCTGCCTGCAGCATTCGCGGCCCCTCCATTCTCCCTTCGGCAGCATCCCCTGCCCTCTCCGCTGCACCCTTCTTTCTGCCTGAAACATGTGCTGAGGGTTTGCCACATGGTTTAAAGTCCCCCACCTCCTGGTTCTCTGGAGGGGAAAGGATCTTGAAGTCATGGTGCGCTGTTCTCAGACCCGAACGAAACGTGTAGTACCACCGCAGAACTGACAGGCCCGTGTTGTCAAAATATAGAGTGGGACCACGGGCAGCATCAATGAGTTCACAGTCCTCATCCGATTTAGTTCTAATCTCTAAATCCAAGGGCACCAACACAAGAGACCCGCAGCATCTCTGAGTGCTGGAAAAATAGCCAGTTTGGAACCTGGCATCACCATCGGTGAGCAGCGTGTGGAGTGTGTTAGTGAAGGAAGAGAGTGGGGCACATGGGTTGTGACATGAGGAATTTTCACCATGAGGCTCCTGTTAGAAACCCAGTGGATGTTATTTTTACCTCAACTGACTGAATTACGAAACATTAAAGGCACTATAAGGAGTCTACTGGTCAATATTTTCAATAAGGGAATTTTAATTTTCCTATCTCTGTTGGGTCCAAATGCATTTAAATGAGAGCCCCTCACTGGGCTGCTGATTGGTTTGTTTTAGGTTTCAGGTTCACCTCAGCAATAACTATAATGACCTTGATCTATGATCCGTTGGCTTAAAGGAATTCTGTCCACATGGCATTCCAAACCCGTGGGTAAATGGAAGGGCATAGTTTCCTTCTAATTTGCTTGGACTTTAGGGAAAAGATCACGTGGATGTGTTCCATGCACAGGAAATGTAAAATTTGAAAACAAACCTTGGAATCGGACCCAAAGTTCCCATTCACTGACCCTTATAAAGACAGAGAACATTATAAAATGTATGAGACGTGTCCTAACCCTGCTCAGTTCTTGCTCTGTAAGAGAATCAGGCATCAGCACTAATAAACATTTTATCAGTGTTAAACTCCCAAATAATGTTATATTCAACTCCGCATTTATTTTACATGAGAAATCTACAAATAGATAGGCACATGATTCTGCAGGGACACTCGACCAGGGGGCTAAGCAGAGGAGTCACATACAATCACTACACAATAAATTGGATGGGAACATCAAACCTATGGCCATCGGAGGAGAGGGACAGAAACAGAAGCCAAATGCCCAGAACACAGGGCGCTGAACGGTTTTCTTGAGCCAGTGAACACTTTGCTTGCTCAACTGCACAGCAAAAACCACCTGGTTCCTAGAGCAGCTCCGTGTGTAACCAGAAGTGGAAGGGGAGTGTGAGTCTTCTCCGCGTGGCGGGGGGCTCGCCGTGGTTGATGGCGGGGCAAGTACCGGAACAGGGCGGGCGACCTGCTCATCTTCTAGAACAGGGACAAGGGCTGTTTCTCTCGTGTGCCATTAATCAACACCAACTCTTTTTAAAGGGACAAGCAAGACACCCAGAAATATGAACAGGCTCTTAAATGTTTCATTGAAATCCACTTTAATAAATGCAAGGTCATACTTCAAAACACTTTTATGTCACATTGTTGAATGAAGAGGGGGTGTGATAAGGAAGAAAAAACACAGAGAAAGGGAGAAAAATGTGGAGGAAGAAATAGAGACAGCAAAAGGACACAGGAGAAAAATACACCGAAAAATATATATATGTTATATATATATAAAGGACCTCGAGAGGGGCCTGTTAGGGAACAAAGAGAAGACTAGTCTGAGGGAGGGGAGGGGGAGGGGCGTGAGAGAGAGGCCCAGCAGGATCCAAAGGAGCCACGCACACTCGCATTCACCGCTGCGGAATTTCCACCTTCTGAAGGCCATTGATTTCCTACCGCTGCCCTCTGACAATTTTAATCTCTGTTTGCACTTGGAAATGGACCGTTTCATGCTTAGACCACCAGAAGCCCAGAAAGATACAGCCAGAAACCCCAGGTTGGGGGAAGTTGCTGGGATCTCGCCCCTCAGTAACCATCGCTGTCCTGTCTCATCCACAAACGGCCATCGAGCTGAAGGCCTGCCCACGGGCTGACCCCGAGCCCATAGAGAGAAAGACCGTGACCCAACCAAGGGAACCAAACCCTGCTCTGCGCTGTCGTTAGAGGGGACACAGGAGCAGCAGGCTCTGTCCTGGGCACTGAAACCTAAGTCAGGCAGTGACCAGTTGGAGGCGTCCAGGGCCATGCATGCAGCCTGTGGGTTCTGGAGTCCTGGTCTGTGCAGAACCTCTGTAGTCTGTCCTTACATCAACTTTTGTAATAATTCGCTTATGGCTGCAGATTCGTCTCCCGCACACTTAGGCTCCTGGGAATGTTCAAACACGGCAAAGGAAGCCTCCCCACGTGGTTCGTCAGCAAGGTGGATTATAATCCAATACCTTGTGTCGTGCGTGCTAACAGGGAGCGTGGGACAGGTGTGGAGGCCTCGTGGGGCGGCTTGCAGGTTGGGGCAGAAGTAGACGAAGCAGCTAGGAGCTGGTGCAGAGGGGCTGGGAGCCTCCGGAGGCCAGGGGAGGGTGGCCCAGAGGTGCGCGAGATAGGTGGTGGCCAGTGGGATGTGGCGGGAGGAAAAGGGAGGGCGTGGGGACACTGCCCATGCTTTGAGCTTAGGGGAGGGGCTGGCTAACGCTCCCGAGCCCCACGGCTGGAAATGAAGGTGGGAGGAGTGACGTGAGGATCTGATACGATGGGTTCAAACGTGAAGGTAGCGAGTTGAAATGCGCAGCAGTGCGTACAGGCTTCAGTGGTTTGGAGTCGCTGTTCGTGCGCCATCAGAGGCTCAGGACAGAGCCCCCTAATGTCGCAGGTGCAAGTCGGGCAGGTGTGAGCACACCAGAAGGAGAGGCTGGGTTAGGCCGCAGTCATGATAAAACATCTCTGTGACGGCCCCCACATGCATGCACAGGCATGTGCACATGCACAGGCACGTCTGTTTTTCCTTCACGCCACTCGTCCACGCTGGTCACCCGTGCACTTGGCATTTCGAGACCCTCCCGGGCCCCAGCAGTCAGAGGCTCCACGGCAGGAGAAGGGAGGCAGAGCAGACGCCCACCCTCCCCTCTTCTGCAGCAATGGCCAGAGGAGCTGGTGGGCTGCAGCCCCGGTTCTGGTCCCCAGAATCTGTCCCTGCCGCAGCCTGCATGTCCCCGAGCTCACGGCCGGAACGGTCAACCTGAACCGCTCCTGGAGGCCACTCAGAGCATCTGTCTGCCTCAGCCGCCTGACCTTGGGGACAGCCAAGCCACTGGTATTTCTATCTTATTGGTGATGCAATGGAAAGATGAAGTGATTTTTCCAATGTGATAGTGTTTAAGAGGAGATTTGGAAATGCCCAACAGTTTTTGGGACAGGGAGGTGGAATGTGGGTGGAGAGGGGAGGCAGAGACCCCATTCTCCCAGAGGCAGGCAGGAGTGTCATTCTTTCCAAAACAGCAGCTGTTAGGACCTGCCCATTGGCTCAGTCAGTAATCATTTTTCTCACTCACTTTGTGGTTTTGAGCTGCTGAGGGTGTGAGGCCCAGGCGTGGGGCAGCCACGGCCTCTCGGACCTCCTTCACTGGCTTCCATTTGCTCTGATCGGGCTGTGCTCCTGGGTCCTCTTTGCCAGCCATCAGGGTGCTCAGGTCACATCCCGCTAAGCCGCAGGTCCCCTCAAGACCCGGGTGTGGAGCCGGCTCCCCACGCTGGGGGCCCAGCCCATGGGGAACGTGAAACACGCCCACCCCCCCTTGCCCTTGTTCCCACCAAAGTAAAAAAGTAAACAAATACATTTTCAAACTCTCTTGCCTCCCACTGCCTCCACTTGCCTTCCCTTCCTCCCACCAACTGCCACCCCAGCTCACTGTCCTTCCCCTCCCTCCTCCCACGAGCTGCCACCTGGCTCTGAGAGCCTGCTCCACCCTCCC